CTTGTCCCCTCTCCCTCCTTCCCTTGTCCCCTCTCCCTTCTTCCCTTGTCCCCTCTCCCTTCTTCCTTGTCCCTTCTCATGCACTCTCTCTCCCCATCCCTCTTTTCCACTATCTCCCTCACCTTCTGCCATCCACCCGCATACAGCCAGAAGAAGGGGCTCCTAAGCCAGGAGCTCAGGTGAAGCGTCACTCCTCATTCTCCAGCAGAGACACTCAGAAGGTCACCTCCTTGGTCACAGTCAAACGGCATGGCTCCAGTAAGGATCCATGGTGCTGTTCTCTGTTGTACTGGCCAGTCTTGTGATTTTTAGGGCTGTGTGTGGAGCCAAGCGTTTCTCTGTGGTGGGGTGGAATCAAGGTGTCTCTGAGATGAGTTATGGCCCCCTGGCCCTGGAGATCATACATGCTTTAATTTTTTTCATTTCCCAGAAGCACAGTTGATCTTTATGTGTGTGTTACTTGTTGGTCTAAGATCTGTGTTGCAATATGATACCCATAGAATACACCTTAAGATTAAGGCTTATTCTCTGAAATCCAAATCAATTTTGCACAATTTTAATTGTAATTTACTTCTCAGTCTTCCCATCCTTTACTGGTTTCGTAGGGTTTTGTCCCTCCTTCTCCATAAACACTGCTATTCAGAATCTTACGAGTGCATTAAAGGCTGTCGGAGGGTAATGTTAAACTGTGTGCTAACGTGTACACAAGGGTGGTCAATAAAGCGGTTCCTCAGCTAAACACATTTACCAGGCCATCAGAGAGTAGTGAAGTCCTCGAGAGGTTTGCTGTGTTTATATGCCTTTCACGCCTCTCCCTGGCTCTCAACCCCAATTACTGCCTGTGTCACTCTGCCTGCTTTATAGAGGGCCGGCTGCCAAATGAAAGTTGGGAAGTGGATACTTCAAAGACAGGCCCGTCTTGCCATGGGATCATGGCGTAACCCGAGACTTACAGGCTGTTCTCGGGGTCTCTAAGCTCCTAATCCTTCTAATCTCTCTAGAGGCTGGTAGGGAGGTGGGAAGGATACCTGACCTTCTCACCACCCCACAGACCAAGCCAGTCCCCTTTGGACATCTTGTGTGACCTTTTGGAGACACATGTGCCATACCTGATTGAGGAAACAAACTCCATCCCTCACTCCTGCCGTTCCAGATGCAAATCAGTACGGGAAGTATGGAAAGACCCGTGCCGAGGAAGATGCACGGAAGTACCTGATGGAGAAGGAGGCACTGGAAAGGGAGAGGGATGCGATCAGAAACAGCCTGCTCTCATTGCGCAAAGAAAAGAGGGAAGCCAAGGAGGAGCTGAAGGGTGCTACGGGTAAGAGGGGAAGACAAGGAGGAGCAGAGGGGCGCTATGGGGAAGAGGGGAAGTCAAGGAGGAGCAGAGGGGCGCTACAGGGAAGAGGGGAAGTCAAGGAGGAGCAGAGGGGCACTACAGGGAAGAGGGGAAGTCAAGGAGGAGCAGAGGGGTGTTATGGGGAAGAGGGGAAGTCAAGGAGGAGCAGAGGGGTGCTACGGGGAAGAGGGGAAGTCGAGGAGGAGCAGAGGGGCGCTACGGGGAACAGGGGAAGACCAGGAGGAGCAGAGGGGCGCTATGGGGAAGAGGGGAAGACAAGTAGGAGCAGAGGGGCGCTATGGGGAAGAGAGGAAGATGAGGAGGAACAGACGGTGGCTACAGGTAAAAAGGAAAGACAAGCATCTCACTTGCTCAATGTTTTGTCAAAAAACGGGGATTGCAACTTCATGCTATATGGTTCAGCTAAAGACTGGAGTGTCTTAGTTAGTCAGAGGTCATGTAGACGCTTGTTCATCAGACTCAGGGAAGGATTAGGGTTAGATGCAGAACTTTGTTTCTCCTGGAGTTCTAGCACCCCCTGCTGTCAGAACATAAAATAGCCCAGTAATCTGTTCAGAGAAACAGCTGTAGCACTGCTTGTGGTGCAAAATAGCATCAGCTGGATAGGGGGCGTCTGACATGCCAGATGGACCCAGCAGTGTGCGTCTGCTTGCACAGGTAAACAGAAGAAGATCTTGGAGGAGCGTGTGGCCCATCTGGAGGAGGGCTGCCGGGGAAAAGAGGCAGACCGCGTGGATCTGGAGCTCAAGCTGACGGAGGTGAAGGAGAACCTGAAGAAGTCACTGGCAGGAGGAGTGCTGGGAGCTGCGGGGGACGTCAAGCAGGCGCCCAAGGTGCTGTCCTTACGGAGCAGGAGGAAACATGGCTGTAAACATCTCGGCCAGCAAATCTAATCATGCTACAGTGTCTCAGGGCAGATTATGTTATGTTTAAAAACCCATAGCGTGTGGGATGCCTGGTTGAACCCAATGGGAATCATGGGTTAGACTGTTTAATATGCATCAGGTTTCGACCATTGTCAGGACATGGTAACCCCCCCCCTATGTGTCACTGCCATCACACGTGAAGCCACCTGTAACAGGGGCAGCGCTGTGGATTCGGCCTTCGTGGATCGCTCCCCACTTTCACACTGAAACCTGTGCCCATACTCCTCTACAGAGCGGCAAAGCCGAGGGCCTCTACAGTGACTCGTCTTTACCAGTCAACTGCGCCGCCGAAATGCGAAAGCGCCCCCCCTCCATCTATGCATCCAACAAGGGGAGCGTGATGCAGAAGGCCAAGGTGACTGGGGCTCGCTTGCATGCTAATGCTACCAGAGTACGGTTTGGGGGGCATGGCGGGGAGGGCTGCTACCTCAAAGGGCAGGGGGTTTTTCTGACAGCCCAGGAACATGACGCTGGAGCCTCCAAAATGCCCAGTAAGAAGGATGGATGGATGGATGGATGGAGGAGTTTTTTGTCAGGAATGTAAAAACCTTTATGTTTATATGAAAATTTGTTTAATCCATCTTTCATGATGTGATTCTGTTATTTGTTCAAAAACAAATTGAACTGTCGTTTGCATCTTTCCATAGAAGAATATAAAATGAATCACTGCTTACTGTTTATATACACAGGAATGGGAGCTGAAGAAGGGCACTTAAAGAAGGTTCTGGTCCGTAGGCGTTCGCACTGGAGGATAATGTATCATTGGCGAGAGGGGTGGACCCCTTCTAGCTACAGATACAAACAGACACACACAAACACACGAATTGAAACACTTAAAAACTGCCCTCTTCCTCTGATTGGACGACTGAGAGAGTGTCGTGCCATGGAAACCGGGGAAGGTGCTGCCCTGCCACTCCTTCAGGACCACAGCACACATTACAGATGGCTGGGAATCATACACCGGCAGACGGCCGTGTGCGAGAGGACTCCTGTCTGCGGATAAGCAGCGAGACAGATGGACCTGGCTGGACGAAATGTGTGAAGATGATGGAAAAGACACTGCTTCAGTCATCACTAAAGAGGACGACATGCGAATACTGTGAGATACTCAGCAAGAGGCTTTAAGAAAAGTATTTTTAAGTATTATATTGTTATACTGCTGTAAAACAGGAAAGACAGATATGTTTTGTATGTTTTTATTTTTATTGTGCAATGTTGTCACTGTAACTAAAGGAAAATGTGTAGTAATAAAGTTATTGAAGATTGTCTATGAAACATCCTGGTCAACAAGCAAGCAGAGGATGCTGCTGGATCTATCCCAGAAATATCCCAGGCACTTCTGGCCATTGTCTCTTTCAAACAGTTTGGGATCAGCAAATATTGAATTATGTTCACATCTTTGGACAGACATTGTTATCATTTTGCAAGAGCTAACAATGGTAATTATGTTACAGAGCTTATATTTCAACTACAGTTTCTTATTAACCCTTATCTGGCTTTAGCACTTTACTGTTTTTCATTACTTTTTTACATGGAGACGGTGACGGGGGAATAATAATAATAAAAAAATGCATATTCTGCACCAAATCAGTATCCCAAATAAAGTCTGTTTCTTAAGTGTTTCTAAATGAAGAGGTGAAAGAGTATGCGCATAATGTATCAGTCTGCGGACCATCTACCAGCATGGAGCCGTGGTGTGAACAGGCCTGTCGTTAATAAAATGATCTGCCCTGCAGCTGTGCCTGACCACACACACTGGAAGCTTCGCACAGCAGGTGGCAGGGTGGTCACTAAACGCTCTGAGTGTGGTCCCTCGTCCACAAAGATGTGCGACACATTGTTGTCACTCAAAGGGTGTTGCCTGGGAAACAATGACACTGCACTGCCAGATCTGTATGACAAATGTACTGCAGACCAATGTACCTTGCAGACTATAATCCACCTGTCTAATATTAACTTCAGGTGGAGATGCCATTAATACTAGGTAATGTGGACTAAGTATAGTATATAGTATGAAGGGTCTGAATCATAATATACTGTATTGCTTATTCAAATTAACTGGATTTATATTAATATATACTAAATATAATTTCTTTGTTTTTTCTGAATTCCGGACTGTAAAATCACAATTTAAACTGTCGAATTTGGATTAAAGTTTACAATGGTGAACAGACAAATTTAAAACTGCTGTTAGTATTCGCTGTATAATCTGAATAAAAATTATATATGCTGCAGTTAAATTAACTGATCAAGTACAAACTATTCAAATGGCGAGAAATTAAAGTGGTCTTTTAACTCAGAACACATTCAATGTTTCAAGCTGAAAGAGGGATCGGGACTTTCAGAGAAAGTCGCATCGCTATCGCGGCCGCCCCAAAGGCATGACGGGAAGTGTGTGTGCATTATCGCAGCCGCCCTAAAGGCATGATGGGAAGTGTGTGGCGAGCTGCGCTGGAATCGCAAAGTGAAGCTGAACCGAAGTATGGCAATTCGCTATATGCTCCTGACGCAGAAGAAAGATTTGCGGAAAATACTGTCTTTTCTCCCAAAGAATAATTTCAGGTAAGAAGAAAGCATATTACGCGATTTTGTGAATTTTTAACGCCCTTTTAAAGTTTGTTGTTGTCACTTTGGAGTTAGTTTCGTGGTCACAGTCCCGGCCTGATCTGGCTCTGCTGCTGTTAATGAGTAATTAGTGTATTGATTTCAGTAATATTTACTTTTAAAATGTCTCGTTGGATAATAGGTTTATCTTTTGGTAGACAGGTTTATGTTTTGTATAAGCGTTGGCGCCGGTTGTGTTTCGGACAGGTTTTATTCCGAAGTGTCCATTACGCGAGTTACCGTGTCGGAGGAGCGGCGCGTCACATGACGGCGTGTCGCTGCCAGGAGGGGCGCCGGGGCGGCGGGCTGCTCCTCGCCCTTCGTGCTGGAAATTATTACAAAAAATAAACGGCACAGTAACGCAAATACATGTACTGTATGTCATCACCTGATGGAGTTTTGTTTATATTATTATGGTCTGATATTTGTTTCTAGGCAGTTCGCCAGTAACTTAACTTTTTTTTAATGAACGATTCCGGACAACTTAAAAAAAACGGGGATATATCACCTCCTTATGGGGTTCAGCGGGGTTTCTTGTGTGGGAGGCTGAGTGCGGGTGTTATTCTGCTCCGGAGGAATCGGTCGTGCTGGCGAAGTAGCGACGTCCATTCGCGATCGGCGCTGGATCACGTATCAGCGCCCAGGCCGGTCGGCCCTGGCTCCCGGGCGTCTCAGCCCGAGCGGCGCCTCAGCGTCAACCGCCTGCCTTCGGCCGCTGATGGTTCCTCACACAGCCTTATTCCGATGGGTTTCCCTTATTGTGTACATCAGGTCGAAATCGACTGGAAGAGTGTCAGAGTAATTAAAGTAAGTGCTTTCGTTTTGGGCTGTCAGGCCGTCTCTCTCAGTAGCTGTAAAGGAAAGCAACTACTCTTTGTCAGTATGAGCAAAACTTAAACTTCCCCGACTTTGCCGAGTAATTGACAATAAAGCCAGGTTAATATCGGTAATACCCTAAAACACCGTTGTCTGTGCTGAAGATAGCTGTTTGTCCACGTTGTCCCCCGCAGTAGAATTATCGTTAACTTTGGAAGGGGGGGCACCCTCCCTATCATAGTAAAAGGACTATCTGTTCCACCCCGTGGGCTGTAATTCTTTTGCAAAGGCCTGGGTTGTGTTGAATATCCTAAGACATTGAAAGGGCGTTGTTATAGTTTTGGATCAGCAATATCTCCTGTCGTCCCTTGTACCCCGAGGCCCAGTTGTCTTGGTGATTGCTAGGTTTTGGTTTTAAAGCAACTCTGTACAGGGTAATGATGAATGGATACTTTTATACTTTAATATAGCTCATCGCATGACTAAATGGATAAACCGATCCTTGAATAAACTAAGAGCAAAAATGCAAGGTTCAGGTGCTGCATTTTATTCCTGTCTGGCTCTATCTGCATCCTTGCAGGTATTTTTCTGTGTTCCCCTGTTGATGGATTAGTGATATGTGTGTGGGAAGGATCTGTATTGGGAAAGTCGCAGCAAAAGCTGTAAGGGGCTTTTCTTATTAGAACTTAATAAGACAACTTGGGCATCTATATATTAATTTTTAACTTGATCTGCTTAATAATATTTAATTTTCCCAAAACTCTGTTTCCATTTGCATGTATTTTTCTCTGCTGTTTCTCTCAAATGCACATATTCAAGATGTAAATGGGCCCTATTGAGACGCTGAATTAAGGGTTTTAATTTTAATCACATGCCAGTCTCGAGGGACAGAAATCCGTCCATCATCCTGACCTGCTTACAGTTGTAATGAGCATCTGTATCCAGAGAAACTTGGCACAAGATGCGGGTAGCAGATGTAATGTGACGTCTCTGTCTGCTGAAGAGTCTGACGTGTGCTGTAAGGGGACAGCAGTCCAAATCATTGTTTGTTTAGGGAATCTGGCCCGAAACCTGATTATCACTTGCAGGGCTGTGGAGTCGGTAGATAAATGCTCCGACTCCGACGTTTCTAAATCTTCCGACTCCGACTCCTCTGTATGTATATACTATGCTAATGTATTTTCTACATCCATTGAAGGAAAGGAAGGCAACATACATGTCATTTCACCACAGAACTACTGGCTAGGAAGCCAACACTCTACTATAATGCCAGATTAAAGACAAACACAATGAAAACGAGGTTTCAAGGGTAGCGCATAGCGAAGGGGAGCCGACGGAACTGAGAACACATCAGATGATTTTTCAGGCGTTTGACGCGTGATGACTCGTTGAACGGCCGATAAATCGGCAGTGCATCTGTAAATGTATGGGGGGCTTTAGGCTAGGTTCACAGTTCCCTGTAACAGTGGAACACGACACAATGGAAAGCGGTGCCGCACCTTACCTGTGCATTACATCCCATATAGTGACGCATACAGTCAATGAAAAGCATGCTTCATGGTTACTTGACATGTTCGTTTTGTGGTAACATTATGCACTGCATGCATTGGGCTTTATTCTTACAGCAGAGAAGTAGCTCATTATGACTGTTTGTGAATTGGGACATTTCAACTTACTTTTTTAATTCCCATTTAAATTTAGTAGGAGTCGGAGTCTGTTAACTTTTTGCCGACTCCGACTCCAGGTACCCAAAATTGACTCCGACTCCTCGACTCCGACTCCACAGCCCTGATCACTTGTAGAGCTTTACTTCATGCTTATAGAATCCGTGTCTATAATCCATCAAGGATTTGAAATGTTAGACAAAATTCTTTAAATTTCCCAATATTCATTGATCAAAATGCAGAAAATCATTTGGAAACTGGGCTGAAGACTACTGATTTAAAGTCAAAGTCACCTTTGTCATTGTGCGCATGCATGACCATGGTTATTCTGTGGTGAGACTGGTGCATAGGTAGCAGCCCGTATAGATCAGCTCTGAAGCTTGCGCTGACTGGACAGGAATTCGGTACATCATAACCTCTTTCTTGGTCCCATTTCTGAAATAACAACCTCCCCCCCCCCACTTAATTTGGAAGAAAGTAGTCTAACAGATTTCAAAGGAAAAATTCCATTATTCAAAGGGGTGTAGGAGTTATGAGGCTCCGAACTTCAATCTCTGATCTCACTCCTTTAAACCACCTATTATTTTAAAAATAGTCTGCAGTAGAGCTGGGCGATATGTCCTAAAAATAAAATCTCCGATTTTTTTCACAATAAATCCGATTTTCGATTTTAATTGATTTTCCTCTACCCTACTGAAAATCAAACTACAGATGACAAATAAATGGTTCAAAACTGGTTTTAACTTTATTTTTTTTAACTTTAGAGTTAAAGTGCAATCTGACAAGCCAAAAAAGATGCTTGTAAGTGAGATGGCAGACCATGCCATTGTAAACACTTTTAGAAACTTGTAGAAACTTTTAGCATGTTAACTTTGGATGTTGTGCTGGTGCTGCGGGCGTTTTCATTTCGCTCGGAGCTGCACTTCTCCCACTCCGCTGTGTGCCTCTGCTTCAGGTGCTGAAATAAATTTGTCGTGCTGCTTCCTTTGGTTGCAACAGTTTTTAAACAGACTTTGCAACGAGGACTTGTTTGGTCTGTGTCCGACGGCGCAAAACCGAACCATTGCCATGATGTTTGTGAATCCGCTACAGTGTTTGGGTGTGCCGCGCTAATGTACCCGTGAAGAATGGTGCGTCGCATTAGTTCCACTTTTGACGCTCATGTGTAAAATAAGTAATAAAATCGATTTTCATAAAAACACATCATCCTGAACTGTAAATTCGAATTAATCGATAAAATCGATTTATCGCCCACCTCTAGTCTGCAGTGTATCTAATGTGTCACCTAAAGTGTTTGGGGACTTTTCAGAGGATTTCTCCTTCCCTGGTAGATATGTGTGATTCACATGCCACATCTCATCAAAATTAAAAATGGGGATATATTTTGGAGATTTTGTTGAATTAACATGGAATGACTGTCATATAACTTACTTAAGGTTCCAGGTACTTCATTGTCATCAGCAGCTGTGGACGCATACATGTCATGAGACAACATTTCTCGGTAGACATATAACAAAAGTACGACAAAAACAATACTGAGCACTAAACAGTGCAACAATATGCAATATAGGGCCATGGGCATTGGGGTATTTCTGTACATAAATATAAAATGAAATGACCGACATAGTGTGACAGAGAGCCACTTAGCGCTATGCTAGGTATCATATTATTACACACAAGGAGGTTATAGCAGCATTGGTTGAGAATTATAAATAAGGTTTTCTTGGGGTCTTATTTTATTCCTTTAGATTGTGGTGAAAGCTTAGAATTTGGCATCTGTGTTTTTGGCTTGTGCGATTGTGGTTCATTTGTCCTTCAGGTATATCAGTTAGCCCTGTGGCCAGTGGGAACTGTAGTCCATTTGCACTGCAAAGCATGCTGTTCTTTATACAAGGCTAGAGAGGAGTTTGTTTAATGAGGCACTGGAGAATTACGACCAAATATGGTTTGTACGTTTTGTTGTGCATGGACCCTTTTTTGTGTCACCCTTTGTCTTACGGCTCAGTTTCTCGTCTCTCCAGGGCTGTGCTGGACCCCTACAGCACTGCGGCCCAGCAGCGCAGCACGGGTGATGATCTCCACAGCGACGAGCACGTGGACGACAGGAGCCACTCAGTGGCTGAAGTGAGAATCCTCGAGATACGAGCCAGCAAGCTGGAGGCGCAAGTCCGTGATCTGACTGTAAGAGAAGCATATATGGCGTATCACACGATACCACAGACGCTGCTTTCTGTTGCTTTGGGTTTTTGCTTACTGCAATGACACTTTTATCTATTACATACCAATAAAAACACAACCATGAATGTTTTTTTGCCCCTGTAACAAAGATCTCAAAGATGACTCACTTTGTTTCAGGAGAGGTGCACAAAAGCCTTGGCAGACTCTGACATGGTTCGAAGAAGAACAAGGAAGTTTGTTGAAGATGCCAAAGTCTTTGGTGAGAATTAGTGAAATGACAGCGAGCTGAAATATAATATTCAAGGGAACTGGACCCAAAAGCGAAGCTCCAAGTCCATTCTGCTCCAAAAAGGCAGTTACAGTTACACGCTAACAAAACACATATTCCACTGCAAACAGTATACAGCTAAAACGTTTAATATTAACACACGGATACACATATTACCGCAATGGGTTGGCGTCCCATTCTGGGTTGTTCCTCACCTTGCGCCCTCAGCCTGCGGGATAGGCTCCGGGCCAGTGTTAATTTTAACGAAAAATTTCCGTTATCGTCAACGACCTTTATTTTCAGACTAAAACGAGACGATAACTAAATAAAAATGATTTTGCGAGGCCTAAAACTATGACAAAGTGTATTGACACTTTCGTCAACGAATAAAAACGAGACGAGACAATCAGAACTAATGTTGTTTTTCTCATATTAGCTTTATATTTCTCGGAGTAACAACGCAAACGGAATGACAAGCCATTTCAGGTGAAAACAGTGCATTTTACTTTTGATTTCAAATAAAACGCAAGGTTGCCAACTTCAGCCAACTGGCTGGAATGAGATTTTCATTTCGAGTTGTCTGCACACGTAACGGTTCTTACCTTGTAAATAGTCTGCTTTTGTATTTAACCATGTAAATACACTTTTGACGTAGGTTATTTTAGGTTTATAATGGAATAATATATATTTGCCGTAAGATTTCCTGCTTGAGTCTGAAGGCTTGAGTGTCATGCCAGATGCTTGAGATTTGGCAGCCCTGAAAACGTACATTTTTTTAGTTTCACCTGAGTTGATTTATATAACAAATAACATTACTTTATACAGTTGTTAAAAAGGGGAAACTTAAACGAACATGAAATCACCTGAAAGAGAGGAGAGTTGATTTTTGGCTCTATGCACTAATAGAATTGTAGCCTTGGGGTAATTATTTTGATGTTGAAAATGCTAAAATATAATGGCTGCACTTCTTGCTACTGATAGCCCTTGAGAAGTATGTTTTCAATGTTTGGATTTTTTTTCTTGATAATGGTTATATATCCCTGATAACATTATTGGTCTTTTCCTTTGAACATATTTGAGAATTTCATGTGAAACATTTAACAACGAACAATAGCAAATTAAAATATTACTAATTTTTTTTGTTTTAATATTCAGGGAGAGCAGGCCTGGTGACATAGCCTGTGCACCTTTTTTTTTTTTTTTAAGTGATTTTAATTTGGCACTACTGATTTTACAGTACTCAGTTTCCGGGTAAATAAACACATTTGTGTTTCAAAAAATCTGTGTATTTGTGTACTGCGTAGTCAGACCTTAACACCATCCCTTAACATGGGTCTCATTTCATCTTGGTGAACATAATGACTTTCAGAAATCGGAGGGAAACTTTAAACATTATACTTTGCACTTTTCATTTTAGTCGACTAAATCAACTGTAGTTTTAGTCGACTATAATTTTATGATATTTAGTTGACTAAAACTAGACTAAAACTGAAACAATTTAGATGACTAAATTATGACTGAAACTAAATTACATTTTAGTCAAAAGACTATGACTAAAACACTGCTCCGGACCCCCTGTGATCCTGAATAGGACAAGCAGTTTGGATTGCTGGATACACATTGATTTATACTATTTAAAGATGCATGTGGTGTGATGCAATGCATGCGTAACTGCATAATTAGTCCTAATGGCCAACCCCATGGCATCAGTTGTATGTCAGCCAATCGTGAACAGTGGGTGGGATCAGGACAAAGGAAAAAGTTCACCTTAGGGGCCCCACTAAAACGTCAGTTTAATCCATCTTGTTTGAAGTATGTTGATACCTGAACCACGTCAACCCCTCCGCCTAACTTGCTGCAATCCCAGCCCAGCCCAGTCCAGCCCCCTGGCCCAAGCCCATTTTGACCTGTCAGGTACTTCAGCAATAAAGATCACTAGAATTCACATCCATAGTTTCCTGTTTGCTCACTATCCACTTCCTGGAGTGACGTCCTTGGTTTGCTCTTTGTTCCGTTCTGCTCTACAGGCATTCAGAGTTTCTGCCGGGACCTGGTGGAGGTGGCTGATCTCCTGGAGCAGGCAACAAAGAATTTCACACCCGAGGAGCTGGTGCTGGAGGACAGCCTGCTGCCGTCTAAGGATGTGGCGCATGCACTGGACCGGCTACAGTGCATCTTTACCAAACACGGCCTTGAGAAAATGACCCCCATTGGGGGGTCATACGACCCCTACCAGCACGAAATCGTCTGCCACGTGGCGGCCGAGGGCGTGAAGCCTGGCAGTGTCGCCATTGTGAAGCAGCATGGGTATAGTCTCCATGGGCGGACCATCCGGCACGCCCATGTAGGCATCGCCATGGAGACACAGGAACAGTGACCTCTTTGGTCGGTTTATCTGTAGGTGTCACTCAGCGGTGATGCCCAATGTGATTTCTGATCACGGTGGTACTGTTTCCTCACAGCTGCTTTCAGACAGTATATTTGATTTAATATTTTTCATGTTTTGTACAGTTTATAATGTATAAATATTTATTTTAGTTTGACTAGTGGTTTCATTATATTTTTGCTTTAAATTCTGATCAATTTTTGCAAGCTTATAACCATGTGGCCTGTCTTGTACTGTTATGATGGATCATGTGATCTGGGCACCTTGTCAGAGTTCTGGTGTGTTACATGCAGTGCTCCAAAAGCTTTACTTAGGCACTGAGTGGGAAGTGTAACTGCATTCAGAGCCAGGAATGATGTGTGGTATCAGTATGGAATGTACTGTGACAGACCCAGGAGCTGTGAGCTCACTGTGTGGCCGGTGCCGGAGTGGTTTGACTGACTTGTTAATCGGCACCTTGAATAAACTGAAGGCCTACAGCTGTGATTTCTTACTTATTCTAAGGCAATGAACCACCACAGTGGGACACAGAGTCCATACAGTACTTTAGTTGGAAAGTGTGGAACCAAGGGTTTGAGACAGCAACTAGGCAGGTGGCAGGACCCGTGACTCGCCATGGAGACACAGGAACAGTGACCCCCTGGCCCATGCCCATTTTGACCTGTCAGGCATATTTCTGCTCAAAGGGTTTTTGTCACAACTATCAGTTATCAGCACATTAACACAATTCAGACAGAATTGAGTTTATTCATATAAAAAGTAGCAAACAAACTTTTGTAAAGATTTGAAAGGATTCAGCAGTCCATCTCTGGAGGCATGTCTACAATTAGCTCATTGATTGACTGGAGGAAGGAGTCGAGTTCTGCAGACAAACCTGAAAAAAAAAGGGGGAAAGCCACTAACCGAGAGCCATTCTCCATAAACAGCCATGCACCATTATGCCACATACCACCACTTGTGCTCTTCAGGGGTGACATCTCCACGTGGATGTCTGGTACTTCCAGATCATCTTCAGGAAGATCTTGGGGCAGAGGGAGACTCCCCAGCCCTGCCAGGCAGAGGTGACTGAGGTGGATCTCCTCTGGCACCTCAAAGCTCTCGAAATCTGTGGGGCACCAGGACGCCAAGTCAGTTTGTGGTACAATCCATACACCATTATTCCCAATACTGCACACAAACCCACACCACTAATACAACCACAGGTCATTTACCAAGTGGGTTGTATGGGATGAACTTTTCCATCTCTGGGTATTCCACATCACTTTTCTGAGTCTTTGCTTTTATTTCAGCTTGCTGGGAAAAAAAGGGAAATTAAATGTTTGTTCAGAAGGAGAGGGATGAACCCAAACCCAAGCCTACTTACCGCTTGCACGGACAAAGGCTTGCTCTTCTGGCCAGAGGCTGACAGAGTGGAGGATATTTTGTTGACAGCCCCCAGAGCCTTTCGACCTGACTGCAAGGGGGGAGCCATCTGCAGCTTTTTGGAAAAGGGGGTCTTCAGGGACCTGCTGGAGTGCAAGTAGCCTGCAAGACCATGCAGAACCGTGGGAGGGTCAGTCTGGGCCTCAAGGGCACTTCGGGTTCCAAAACAATGCAATCTTTACCATTTTGATTGTACAGCACTTCGTTTCATCTGCTGTTGTGTGAAATGTCCTTTAGAAATAAATTTAAGTTGCAGCACAGAGGTGGCAACCCTACAAATGATAGATGTCAGAAGTAATAGGTTATAGGACTTAAGTCTGATTACTAATCAGACGGTTATACCGGTTTTAGCCCGACGACGGAAGGAGCAAAGCAAATCGCAGTCGCCCCCATGTTTCCTGTCACCTACGACAATTACGGGGGGGACTCACCGGGCGCCGACTGCAAACGGTCCCGCAGCTTAGAGGGGGCAGCTGCAGGGACGCTGCCGTTCTCTTTGTCAGCGCAGATCACAGTGGCCATCTTTAGGGAAAACTGCTGGATGGAGCCAACAGCTACGAAAACACAGTTACCACGTTGGCGGACAGATCGGACATTAACGGAAAAAGTTCGCAAACATACCAGATAAAATGATTATTCCGCAGAATAACGTACCAGAGACTCCAGAACACTGTCGAGGCTGTAAACGCTGGAAATATCACCGCTCTCCCAAAAAAGACAGGCACCAAATTTCCAACAGAAACAAGTTGCACTGCGGCTGATTTTTTAAACAAGAGGCCGTTTCCTTATTGGTCCACGTGACGACGCGGCGGCTACGTCGGACATACCGCCGCCTAGTGGCCGGGCTGAAAATCTAACTGAATAATGCGGGCACGATGACAGAAATTAGATGACCTATTTGCACAGACCTGTCTTATTATAATTTTGGACTTTATTTTTAAACACTAAAAAACACTAAAATTCCTATTTTCAATCGTTTTTATTTTAGTTCTATATATATTCCAGGTTTCTTCTGGGTATTTTGGTTTCCCCCTACAGTTCAAAAACATGATCAGGCTAACTGAAGTTGCCAAATTGCCCATAGGTGAGTGTGCCCTGCGATGGGTTGGCGCCCCAGCCTGGATTGTTCCCTGTCTTGCATCCGTAGCCTCTGGGATAGTCTCCAGATTCTCCGCGAGTTTCAGAACATGGATGGGTATCCTGTTTAGTTTTTATATATTTAGTTTCAGTTGAAGTTTTATTATTTGGTGGCAGGTGTGTATGTATATGTGTGTGTTCTCCCTTTTCCCATCCTGATTATTAGATACCGAACACCTATGGCCGGGGAGAAGGAGCCTATAAGTATACCCACTTGGCACCTTTCCAAGAGAGAGAGAGACGCCGTTCGGGGAACCGATCCACCCTTCAGCCTGAGTCTGTCCCCGCCTGGTTTAGGCCGATTGCTGGGTTTTGTGTTTGTCACCCTTTTAAGTTTGTGTTGTTAATAAATACCCTACTCCTGATGCCACTTCGTCTGCGTTTCCCTCCCTTTTATACTACGGACTTGTGCCGGTTCGTAACAATAATACTATACAGGTCCTTCTGGGAGAAATAAAGTTACCCGAATACTGAATGATCTTTACACGAATAGGCAGTGCACATTATGCATGATATTCTGAAAAGGGGCAAAACATGTTCCAGCTTTTATTAATGGTAATTAAAGATAATCCTTACTAACAGTGTTCGTAGAGGGATGCCAGCTCTCACGCACCTTACGGCAAATCTATATTATTCATGTCAAAGTCTTTATTTGTGAATTCTGCCATATTTTCAGGACAAACCAAAGATCGAAATTCCGTTTCTCTCTCTCTGACTGCACGAACAAACGACAAGAAAATACAAATATCAAAAGTAAAATTCCATTATAAACCTAAAATTTATAATATTAAAAACGGAAACGTAAAGTATTGGACATTCGTTATTTTTATTTTCGTATTTTATTTGAGTTTATGAAAATATTTTCTTATAGCCTAGTTTTAGTTTTCTTTAATGATAATAATCCTGACGCAAATGACAGTAAAATTTGTGTTTGACGCATATCGTGTACAGAAATACACATGTAACACAAAATAAATTGAATGCATGTACATTCAATGTATCATGTTTATTGTGAGAAGCTGTGGGACACAACTCAATCCAGTATTGATCTGAAACACATATTTGTGTTTATACACGTTATACACACTGCATGTATTTGACACTTCGCAATATTGTTACTACTGTAACGTTGTTATTGTTGTGATCATTTGTACCTCTAGGGGGCAGCAGCACACAATAGGAGGGCTGGTTTCAACCAACTGAGAAGAAGAAAATGTAGCCGAAGACGGAAGTGACGTCACAGTTATTGGCGAAGTGAGCGGCGTGCGAATCACGCTTTCCTTCTGTGCCTGGGCACGCTTGTACGATTTTTTAGGCCGTAAAGTTAGGAAGAAATTTAAACATGACAAAGACAAAGAAGGAGAAGACGGTGACGGAGGAAGAGGCAGTCGGAACGGAGAAATCGTATCAAGAACTTATAGCTCACATTAATCCCATTGCCCAGCCACTAGCCCCAAGAAAACTCAGCAAAAAGCTCTACAAGTGTGTCAAAAAAGGTACAATATGGTCCGTGTTTTAGCAGTTCGAGTCCAGCCGCTCTGGGCAGTGATGCATCTTTCGAGTTGCCTGGGATTGACGTTGCCTGGAATGGTTAAATTCTTCAGATTCTTGAAAATGCGGTTTTTAGGTTATTTCAGTTGGTTGTGAAGTATCAAACTTCCGTTGCAATGTAAATGTCGGCGCATCAGTTTGTATTTTAATATTTTCCCCTCAGCCGCCAAAGTGAAACAGATCCGCAGGGGAGTTAAAGAAGTGCAGAAGTTCATTAATAAGGGCGAGAAAGGGTAAGTCATACATCTACCGACGTCTATACTTTGCAGATACGGTTTGATGCATTTCCACTGATGGAGAAATTCGTGTTTGTATAGAATTGTGGTGCTCGCTGGAGATACGTTGCCGATTGAGGTTTACTGCCACCTGCCGATAATGTGTGAAGACAGGAATCTTCCTTATGCTTACATACCCTCTAAAGTGGTGAGTGTTTGCCCTATATATTGATTTTTTTACAAGCCAAACTACCTTCACATGTTTGTGGACAGAAATGTACTGGTGTTTCTACAAAGAGAGAACATCAGGGCCTTGATTCCCAATGCCTTATCAGTAGTTTCTCTACTGGAGAATTCTAGTTTGAATTCATCACAGTGCTCTTTTACCTCTAGGAAATGGACAACCAGTGAACTTTTTTCTGGTTTGTTGCTTCTGTAGGACTTGGGCTCCTCAGCCGGCTCCAAGCGGCCCACCTGCGTGATCATGATAAAGCCTCATGAAGATTACCAGGAGGCTTATGATGAGTGTTTGGAGGAGGTGTCAGCCCTGCCGAAGCCTCTGTGAGCCTCTGGGAGCCCTATCAAGGCGGCTGTGCAGCCTTTCGGACTCTTGACACCTATTGACCATGCAGGCAGACTCATCATCACATCTGCTCTGCTCTGACAGCAGAAAACACTGTTCGGAGACTGAGAGAGGATGTGAACTTAGAGGTGGGCCTGTTTTAGTGGGGCCCTTTTAGACATTTTTTTATTTTTGTATTAAAATTGAGGAGACAGGAATCTGTTGTGTAATCACAGATGTATCAGTGTTTTCTTTTGTGATTTGATGTTTGTTTTATGTGACATGATGCAAGCTGGTGGCCTGTAGAGTACTTGGCTTATATGCTTTGGTTAGTTTGTTTGCAGCTCCCACTGACGTAATAAAAAAAACAAAAACAAATCGACGGTAGAAATGATTTGTTGTGAGCATGTTTAATTTGTTGAATTTACCAGCTTCCTCTGACCTAATTCAGAGAATTGAAGTTCTTATCGGCACCAATCATTGGATGTTGAAAACAATACGGTAAAAATGGGCACTGGATTCAGGTGTAAGAAGTATAATCATTCATTTGTGTAAAATTGTCATCTCAGTGACTAATTATTAGATTGCAATTACATCTGAAATTTTATCAAGATGTTTTTGTTGCAGAGATTGCACTTACTTTACTTAGCTGAGACTTTGGATAAAAGTCACAGAATTGAGAGATAAGGGCATCCAGTCCCTGGAATAATTGGGCCTTGCTCACAGACCCAGCAGTGACATCACTCTGAGGGACCGGGGATTCAAACCAGTTTCCTATTCAGGGGTACGACCTCCTAACCCACTGAGCCACACACTACCTATGGACAGGTCCCTAAAAGTGAAGTTGTGCTCAGAATTTGTTGTCATAATCATATGTGTTAATCATAATTAAGTTGAAATAAAATATGCATGTGTGGAGGAGGCATTGAACATGGAAACATTAAATCTAAAATTTTGTCATGATTCTTTTAAATTAAATTTTATTTGTATAGCGCGTTTTAAACACTTTACATTATCCCTGCCCAAAGCCCCCAGTGAGTAAGCCAGAGGCGACAGTGGCAAGGAAGTATCCCTAGAAGGAAGAAACCTTGGGAGGAACCAGACCAAAAGGGGGAGCCCATCCTCCAGGGGGTGTCAGAGATAGTCAAATGGACAAGAGGGTGAATTCACACAGTCCTAATTTAATCTTTGAGTCTCAGTGTGGGGGGGGGGGGCTGGCAGGTGCCGGTGCTGTTTCAGATGGCAGGACAAACCGTGGTACTACAGCAGGGCCTACAGGAGAGACGTCACAGGCAGCAGGGCGAACAGGCCGGAAAGATGCCACAGGTAGTGGAGACGTCGCAGGCAGCAGGGTAGGCAGATTATCTCTATAATTTGGGGTCTCCAATCTGCACAGCCCAGGAGGAGTAGGGGGAGTAAAATGTGCAATTAGCCAAAGCAGGGGAGACTAGAGGCAGTGCAAACAGTTAGGTGAGCGCCGTATGTACGCTCCAGCTGATAAGGCTATAGCAGCATAATTAGGAGGGAGAGGCAGGTGGGAACGCAGGCAAGTGCGGGGGGAGGGTCCCTAAATGTCAGCACTCCAATTCCACAGGGTGGGGTGGGGGGGGTGAAGCAAGAGTGACAGCACTGACAGTTCAGCTCATCCAAAGCCAATGGCACCGATCCCCACCCAGCTCTACACCTCACACTATAGGTCTAATTGGGGGTGAGCAGTTAGCTAGAGCTAGAACTAGAAGCTAGACTAAACAGGTGTGTTTTTAGTTTAGACTTGATTATTGAGAGTGAGCCTGAATCTCGCACATCTGATGGAAGACTATTCCACAGCTGAATTGCTCTGTAAGAGAATGCTCTGGAGCCTGCCGTAGTTCTTTATACTCTAGCCACTAATAGATATCCTGCTCCTTGAGATCGAAGCAAGCGAAGAGGATTGTAAGAAGCCAGTTGATCTCTAAGGTATTCTGGTGCAAGGCCAGTCAGTACTTTATAAGTTATAACAGTATTTTGTAGTCAATACGAGACTTAACTGGATGCAGGTGAAGGGAGCATAGAATAGGGCTAATATGATACATATTTTAAGTGTTTGTAAGAACTATGGCTGCTGCATTTTGTACCAGCTGAAGTTTACGCAAGCATCTGGATGGGCAACCAGAAAGAGGGCATTACAGTAGTCCAATCTGGAAGTTCGAAGCACATGTATTACTTTTTCTGCCTCATGAATGAAGAGCATCTTCTGAAGCTTGGCTGTGTTCTGTAGGGTTAGGTAGGAAGACTACCAAGGATGAGGTTGTTAAAATAAGTTGTCAACTTATTTTGAGCAGCCTTGGGATCAACTAGCAGTACTTCTGTTTTTTTCTATGTTTAGCATAAGGAAATCTAGTTGACAGTCTTCTAACCAAGAGAGGGCTTTCCCCTTAATGCCAAACACAGATTCTAGCCAGTCCAAGAGGATATTATGGTCCACAGTATTGAATGCTGCAGTTAGATCTAGTAAGACAAACAAATATATACAGCCACAGTCAGAAGCCATAAGCACGTCATTCTTTACTTTCATTAAAGCTGTTTCTATGGTATGGTTTGGTCTAAAGCCAGACTGATATAATTCATTGGCATTATTTTTCGTAGGAAAGAAGACAGCCGATGAACGAGAGCTTTTTCCAGGATCTTTTAAATGACAGGAAGATTTGAGATTTGAGGTCTATAATTTCCTAAATCTCTCGCTTCAAGGTTTGGTTTCTTCTGCCTTCTGCTGTGTATATTTGCCTGTATTAAGCATATTTTGTCAGTGGTCAGATTTAGGAGTTTGAAAACTAGTATTTAAAATGTTAAATATATTTTGAAAAAATATTTTAAAGGTAATGCTAGGAATAGCAGCTTAAACATGCTGATGTGTCAATTTTAAATACAATTTTTTGTAGCTATTAGACTTAAATGGTAAAGAATTCTGTTTACATCTTCTTGGATGATGCAGTCATCCTGACACCTAATAGAGTTTGTAAGTAAAAAGCTAATTAGCTAGAAAAACATTATAAAGAGAACATGCTGTAATTGCTATGTGGATCTAATATAATGATTTTAATTATTATGTGATATCGGTTTGTCATAATTCAGTTCCATCACAATATTTATTCAGGATCCTTGCAGGGAGATGAATTATGCGGGTGCCTTCCCAATTCAAATCGTGAATGGATACTTATCCTGACCACGAGGTGGCGGTGGTGATACAAATGTGCATTTACCATGACTGAAATCCTGCATTTGTTCAGTTCGGAGAATTTGCATCCAGGGGGAGCGTTTGTGACGTGAGTCTGTGTGATTTTTGACATTTGAGGAAGGTTGCCAGTTATTTATTTAGTCAGGTGGGCACTTTTGGTTGGATATATGTAAAAAACTATATTTTTTTCCTTTCTCTTTTGTTTGGTTACTGTATTAAATAAAGTGAATTGTTTGTACGTTAATTCATTCAGTGATTTGGTAAAGTGGTTCCCATTCTAAGAACTGAGCTGGATCATTTGTGTCGTATTTGATGAGGAAACACCAAGTGTTAGGTGTTGAAACTGATAAACAGTCTCGATGTGTCTGAACAAAAGCTAGGAGACCCCTCCACTCTCTTTGTCTAAGACAAGCTGAGCCCCGGTTACATGGTTGTTTACTTCATGTTGACATCTTAAATATTTTAGGGTCAAATAATACCAATGCACATGCTCGCTTTCTGTTTGTTGTGTTCAAGATGTATTTTCCCCAAATCTTGTATATAAGCCTAGGAGACACGCATTAGATCAGTCTGTCTTACCGGAGAAGAGTAAGAAAGTGAATATCTTGTGCAGCATTTCATTAGGAGAGTGGCGAGTCTGCAGTTTTTGTCAAGAAATGTTTTTGAACGCTGAGTGATGGACTGCAGTTTAAGTGCTTTTTTTTTTACTTGCATCTCAAGCTGTACTGGAACTTCAGCTGTTGTCATTGTTCATCAGTCTGGATTGAGGGTTTCCTGCAGAACTTTACATTTCTACTTCTGAATAGACTTCAGACACCAGACTGTTGTAATTCCATTGTCCGTCTTTTTCACAGACTGGGAGTGTGCTGCTCTTGGAAGGTCAGAGGTCACAGGCTTGCTGTATTGACTGGGGAACAGTTAGCACTCTGTTCAGTACTCTGATGATGATACAGCTTTCATATTGTTTCTGTGTTTATGATGTCTTTAAAAAGTAGAATACGTATTTTTTGAGTCGTTTCATTTATCCTGTAAAAGCTTCTCATCTTTATGTTTTTCGAAAGTTTTGTGCTGTTAGACATTTCATTGCATCTTCACCCCATCTTCACTGCATCTTCACTGCATCTTCCAGTATTCTTAAATACTGTATTTATTTCAAGGAAATGTTTGAAGGGTATAGTGGAGAAGGTCAAGGTGAGCTGAAGGAGATTAGATTAGACCCGTGACGACCAGAAAGGGACAGCCAGGGCAGGTGCTGGATGTCCCTCAAGTCCTCTGGACGTGTGCAGCTGTGTGTGACATTATTTACACACAACAGAGCACCAGGGGCCTGTGGCCCTCTGTTTGATGGAGAACAGGGCCACCAGAGCTAGCATCTAGCGTGCTCTCCAAGTTTAGTAAACAATGACAGTAGGACTGAGCTGTTTTAGTAAACACTTACACGCGTGCTTTGTTGTGTGTCGGTTTGCCGGGGGGGCGGTATGTATTCTTGGGGCACTGAATGCTAGGTGGAGCGATTTGAGTAGCAAAGGGTCACACTGTCCAAGTTCTTTCAGCCTGAAAACTACTACCCTCTATGAATGAGGTTGGCAATGCATATTAGTGCATTGGCACCATTGTAACGCGGCACCCCTTGCTGGGAAATGTTACTTGCATGTGAGACGCTGAGCTGTTATAAAGAAAGGGAATGTGAAACAGATTTACATGGAGACAGAGGAGACTCAGTTTTGCATGTGAATTACAAAGGAAGAAACGTGTGTAATGAGAGCCAAGATGTCGGTCTGCTTGAAAGAAACTTGCCAAATCATGTTATTCTGCGCTGGAATCATTGCATGTTGTCGGTGCTGTTAAAATATAAGCAAACAAAGTTATCTGACTGGGGAATCGATATGATGAGAGACTTGAGCTGTACACTTCACAAAGAGTAAATTCATGCTTATTGAAGGTGATCCTGTAGAAATGAGTAAAGTCCTGTCCCCCCTCCCCCCTCCTGCCCCCCCTGCCC